CTTGTTTATGGAGTATAATCCCTTTAATGTGCTGTTGGATTTGGTTTGCTAGTAGTTTGTTGAAGATTTTTGTATCAATATTCATAAGGAATATTGTCTGTAAATTCTTTCCTCGTGGTATCAGGGTAACACTGGCTTCATAGAATGAGTAGGTAGTGCCCCCTCCTCTTTGTTGTTTGGAAGAGTTTGGGAGGATTGGCATTAATTCTTTAAATGTTTGGTAGAATACACCAGTGAAGCCATCTGGTCCTAGACTTTTTTGGGGGGATTTTTTTTTTTTTTTTTTTTTATTTCTAATTCAATCTCTTCACTTGTTTTAGGTTTGTTGAGATTTTCTGTTTCTTCTTGAGTCAAGTTAGGTAGTGTGTGGGCTAGCTAATTTGCTGGTGTACAGTTATCCATAGTAACCTCCTATAAAAACCAAAACCGAATCAAATTCATTGTCGTAGAGTCAATTCTGGCTCCTACCGACCAATCCTTCTTATTTCTATCGGGTTGGTAGTAATATCCCTTTTTCATTTCTGATTTTAGTTATTTGCGTCTTCTCTTTTTCTTTGTCAATTTAACAAAAGGTTGGTTGATTTTTATTGATATTTTCAAAGAACCAATTTCTTAAGTTTGTTGATTCTATTGTTTTCCTATTCTCTATTTCATTTATCTCTGCTCTAATCTTTATTATTTCCTTTCTTCTGGTAGCTTTAAGCTTAATTTGGTCTTCATTTTCTAGTTCCCATAGGGTCGCTATGAGTCAGAATCAACTCGACAGCAACAGGTTTGTTTTTGTTTTGTTTTGTTTTGTTTTTCTGTTTTCTAGTTCCTCAAGGTATCCTTAGGTTACTGATTTGCAATTCTCTTTTCTTAATGTAGGTGTTCATTACTATAAATTTCCCTCTGATTACTACATTCCATTAAGTTTTATTATGCTGTACTTTCATTTTCATTCATTTCTAAGTATTTTCTTATTTCCCTTGTGATTTCTTGTTTGGCCCATTGGTTGTTTAATAGCGTGTTGTTTAATACCCACATTTTTTGTGAAATTCCCAGTTTTCCTTGTGCAATTAATTTTGTTTCATTCTGCTGTTCCTGGAGAAGATAGTTTGCAGGATTTCAGTCTTTTAAAATTTATTGAGACTTGTGTTGTGACTAATATGTGGTCTATTCTGGACAATGATGTACGTGCAGTGGAGAAGAATGAGTATTCTGATCTTGTTTGGTGGAGTGTTCTATATACGTGGTAGGTCCGGATGGTTTATAGTGTTACTCAAGGTCTCTATTTCCTCATTAATCTTCTGTCTAGATGTTCTATCCATTATTAAAACTACTGTGTTGAAGTCTCTATTATTGTAGAACTATTTTTTTCCTTCAATTTTGTCAGTGTTTGCTTTGTGTATTTTGGGGCTCTGTTGTTAGGTGCATACACATTTATAACTGTTGTATCTTCTTGATGAACTATTTTATCATTATATAATATCTTTTTTCTCTAGTAACAGATTTTGACTTAAAGTCTATTTTGTCTGATATTAATATAGCCACCCCTGCTCTCTTTTGACTACTATTTGCATGGAATAATTTTCTCCATCCTTTTAGCTTCAGCCTACTAATGTCTAGGTCTAAAGTTGGTCTTTTGTAGACAGCATGTAGTTGGATCATGTTTTCTTATCCATTCCACCAATCTCTGCCTTTTGATTGAAGAGTTTATTCCACTTATATTAAAATAACTACTGCTAAGGGGAAGACACATTTCTACTATTTTACTATTTGTTTTCTGTGTGTCTTACACCTTTGTTTCTCATTTCCTCCAATACTGCATAGTTTTGTGTTGATTTTTTTTCTAATTAACCATTTTTATTCTCGTTTCTTTTTGTGTATATTTTTCAGATATTTGTCTCTGTGTTACTGTGGGGATTCCATTTGCATTGTAAATTTATAACAACATAGTGTAAATTGATACCAACTTCAATAACTTTTCCTATACCACTTTTGCCCTTACATCTTTATATATTGTGTCCAATAACATAGATTTATAATTTTTAATGCATTGTCTTTTAAATCATGTAAGACATAAAGAGTAGAGTTACAACACTAAAATACTGTAAAACTGAACTTTATATTTACCCATTAAATTACCTTTACTGGAGATCTTTTTTTTTCCTTCTTCTTCTTCACGAGACTCCGAGTTACCATCTAGTGTCCTTTCTTTTCAACTCAAAGGACTTTCTCTAGAATTTCTTGAAAGGCAGATCTCATGGTAACGAACTCCTTTAGCTTTTGTTTATCTAGGAATGTCTTAATTAAAAAATAAGATTAAGCCCTCATTTTTGAAGGATAATTTTGCTGGATATAGAATTATTGGTTGACAGTTGTTTTCCTTCAGCACTTTAACTATGTCATCCCACTGTTTTCTGGCCTCTGTAGTTTCTGAGGAGAAGGAGGTACTTAATCTTACTGAGAATCCCTTATATGTGATGATTTGCTTATCTTTTGCTGCTTTCAAAATTCTCTTATCTTTGGTTTGATTATAATGTGTCTTGGTGTGAATCTCTTTGGGTTTATCCTATCTGGAGTTTCTTGAGCTTCTTTGATGTGTAAATTTGTGTCTTTCCTCAAATTTGGAAGTTTTCTGCCATTATTTCTTCAAATATTTTTCCCGCCCCTTTCTCTCCTTCTTCTCTATCTAGGACTCCCATAAGGAGTATAGTGGCCCATTTGATGGTGTTGCGCAGTCGCTTAGGTTCGTTCACTTTTCTTCATTATTTTTTCTTTTTGCTGCTCAGACTCGATACTCTCAATTGTCCTATCTACAAGTTCGCTGATTCTTTCTTCTGCCAGCTAAAGTGTTTTGGAGCCTCTACAGTGAATTTTTTAATATCCATTATTGCACTTTTCAGCTCTAGTATTTGTTTCTATTTAAAATTTTCTCTTTGTTGAAATTCTTATTTTGCTCCTGTATCACTTTCCTCATTCCCTTTAGTTCTTTGACCATGTTTTCCTTTAGTTTTTTAAGCATATTTAGTACTATTGTTTTTAAAGTCTTGGTCTACTAAGGCCATTATCTATCCTTCCTCTGAGATGGTTTCTGTCCCATTATTTTGTTCTTTTGCATGAGTCATCCTTTTCTGTTTCTTTGTATGCCTTGGGATTTTGTTGTTATTGAAACTAGGGCATTTGACTATTATAATGTGTTAACTCTAGAAATCAGATTCTTCCCCTTTCCTAGGATTTGCTCTTTTTTTTAATTAATGAAAGCTGTAGTCACCCACTCTCTGGAGTGCTGACTATTGCTGCTGTAACACCAGGCCCCCACGTGGGAGCATCACCTGTGGCCATTTCAACACCAGGTCCCCCACCTGGGAGTGCTGTCACCACTTCAATTCCAGGCTCCCTGCCTGGGAGCACTGGCCACTGAAGCCATCCTAAGATGTCTGTGCTGAGCCAGGGAAGGAGTGGAGCTCAGATGGCTGGAGAACCAATGCTTTCCTACCATTTATGACTTTTTATTGATTCAGTATTCACTTACATGTTGTTATCCTTTGACTGGTTTCCAGAGTTCTGAGACCATTGACAGCACCAATTTATGCCTGGCTTTTTTTTTTTTTCTTTTTTTTTTTTAGTTTTGTTGGCAGGAGCATGCAGCTGCTTATGCCACCATCTTGTTCCACTTCTCTGGGTGTAACTCTTTTTTTAAGACTTCTGAAGAGATACATTTCAGTTGAACCAAAGGGTCCTAGAAATATTGAGGGAATGAAAATCTTGATATGCTCAAGACACATGTCTCTACAAACCAAGTCATGGGTACTTTGAGCATCTCAGGCTGAACTAATGACTGTTTCTCCAATCATCTTCTGGTGCAGTCTTCCAGACCTTTACTCTCCCAGGAACTGCCATATTCGTGTCACTCTAATTCCTTTATTAAACCTTTTTATTCACATAACACTTATAGTAAGTCTGCTTTCCTAACCAAACCTAGACTAAAACACCTGGCTTCCCTAGAAAAGAGAGTCTGAGGCAAAGATTGAATCCTATTTTATTAGAAGGCATAATTCAGGTCAGTGAGAGTCTAGAAGGGATGTGAGGCTAGCAAACGCAAATTGCTAAATTACTACAAAGAGCTCGCTGCTATTTCATGAAAAGCCATGAAGAGGCACTGCCAATCACTTGGCAAGTACACTTGTTAGCCACATGCTACACCTCTGGACAGGCTGGATGAAAAACTGCCTCTAACAATCCATTACAAGGAGGCGGAGGAATTCATCTGACAGCTTCTTCTAGTCCATTGTCTCAATTTTTCCAGACAGGTACTTAACTCTACTGCTCTTCCAGACTGCACCACCTAGACCTTTTGGCAGTCACTCCGGAAGCCCTCTGACTAGTACTTCCTACAGTCCAGATGTGTTGTGATTGGTCAGAAATTCAGCGCACATGGCTGGTTGGTCTCAAGCAGGGGAATCATTCAAGCCTGTTGGTCATCTGTCCCTATGTAGGATAGTAACTAAGTCAAAGCAAGTGGCCAAGGGCTCAGGAAACAGTGAAGCTAAGAATCTGAGAAGGTGCTCCTATATCCAAAGTTGAGATATCTATTGCCACAATAATGCTGTACAACAGCTATAAAAGTTCAGTGGCGTAAGAGTAAGCATCCATTGCTCACACATCTGGAATCAGGTAGGTGCCAGCTAGGTGGCTCTGCTGATCTTGGTTGGGATTCTTTACATATTTGGAGATTGGCTATGGTGACCAGAACCACCTGGTTGTGCTCCATGTGTCTCATCCTCCAGCAGGCTAACCCACACATGCATGTTCTTATGGCAACAGTAGAAGCACAAGAGTAAGTGGAAATACACTAGACCTTTAGAAATGCATTTGGCCCAGAATTAGAAAGGGTACTTCAAAGGAACAGAAAAAAGGATCATGAATACAGGGAAGGGAAAAAAAAGGGCCATTTTTGCAGTCTATTATACCAAAGAAAAACAAGACAAGTACAGCCAACTCATTGTTCTAACAGGTATTATTATCTTCTTTTGGGAAGAACTTGAGATTTTATCTTGCCTTAGTTGTAAATTAGGCTTTTATGAACTATGCGGGTCATCTTTCTTTTGCCAGCTGTGAGACGGAGCGAATGAGTGATAAGATTATTCTATCTCTTTTATTATTATTGTTTTCTCTTTTAACTGTTATGTTCAGTTGGTTTGTACAGCCAGTTAAACGGCAATAGAATTTGGCTCAGGGAATCTAAATTTAGCCCAGAGAAATCCAACTTTGGCCCTGTTTAAATCAATCCAGACTTTCCTCTGTTCCTAGGGCCAAGTTCTAAACATGAAGAAATCCATTTTAATTCCATTCTTACAAAATAATTGCTAAACAGGCAAGCCAGTTCATTTGGCTAAGATTATGGGGGCTAATAATGTTCAAACCTTATATAATCCACATTTCTTTTCATGAATAGCATAGTATAATCAGAAGTCCCTGACTCTAGACCAGGTTCTGCTGCTAACTAGTCGTGTGACCTATGCACAAGTTATTTAGCCTCTTTAGGCCTCAGCTGCCACATCTATAGTGTCAGAGGATTGCTTTAAATTAAAATATTCCAAAATGTGTGCTGCGGGACAGTATTGCCACAGGATGTTAATAGGTGTTATATATTCAAGTAAGTTTAAGAAATACTAGCTTAAGGTTCAAAATTCTTACTTATTTCAGGGCTTTTCAGAACCTTTATTATGCTGTGTCTTTTGAATCTCCAAGAGATGACTATAACGTGCAACAAACTAATTTCACCAAAAACTCATTTTCTCATAAAACATGTTATGTGTCCCAGTGAATATATTTTGAAAAATGTACTGTCATTTCTAGCATCAAAATGGGTAGGTTTATCAGTCAGGGTTCCAGAAACAGAAAACAACTTCAAACCAGGACATTTGAGAAAACTGTAGTAAACTGACTATTTACAAAGGCGTGGGCAGTGTTCAGGGAAACCAACAAGGGGTAATGAAGTACCCAGGGGCTAAGAACAGCTGGGAGCCATTACCACCTCTGAGTAAAACAGGGTAAAGCGAGGGAGCAGGGGCCAGTACTTGGAGAAGTAATAGGGATAACTACTTGGAAAGGGGTGCCTGACAGGGTGGCCTTCAATAGAGGAACACAGCCAGCCCATAGTGACTTGGCAGGAAAGAAGCCAGGAAAATAAATACCATTATTTCATTTTCCCTTCAACCTCCAACCTCCTGCTGGTGCTTCCCATTTGTTGATCCCAACCAGAAGCCGGAGGGCAAGGGAGCCTACTACCTCACTGAGCAGAGAGAAGAGAGCAGAATAGAAGAGTGGAGCCTGTATCCAGAGGAGCGAACAGGAGCCATACGGCATAGTAGGGCTCCATTCATGTGCAGCTAGATCTAGGTGAATGAATGATGTCATCAGGCCTGTCCTTTTTATCACTCCACTTTGCTTTCCTTTGTTAGCTTCATTCTAAGGCAGGCAGCTACCTGGCAACACAGATGGCTACCAGCAGCAGCTCTAGGGTTTTTATCATTCTTAGTTCACAACTCCAAGTAAGAAAGTAAAAAGAGCAAACAGATATAGCACTTACTCCATGCCAAGCACTGTTAAAAGCCCTTTAGATATATTAACTCAGTTAACCCTCATAATAATCCTATAGGGCTAGTAGCTATCGCATTACCTTCTCTTTACATATGATGAAACTGTCACTTAGCTGATAAAGTGGAAAAGGAAAAGCTGGAATTGAGATCCAGGCAGTCTAGCTCCAGTGTGTGCCTTTAACCACCACACCATCCCGCCTTTTGAAAAAAGAACCCTATCTCCTACAGCATCCATATCAATTACCAAAAAGGACCCTGGTGCTACTGAGTCAGGTCCTCATCTCTGGATCAACCACTGTGTTCAGGAGAGGGGAGAATTTAGCTTATTAAACTGGGTCTTATGTCCATCCCTATGGCAGGACCACATGATTGCTAGAAATTCCCCCTTCCAAAAAAGATGCCAGACAGATGTAAAAAGCAGCACGTGTCTATCACAGACAGTGTGGACTTATGAAAACAGTCCTGGAGACTGGAGCTATAATTCTAGCTGTGCCTGTATTTGCCACTAACTCAAAAAAATCACTTATCACATCTTTTTCAGCAAGGAGATTCTAACCACATCTACTTCTAAAAGTGGTGTGAGTATAGGTAAAATATAAGATCCCTAAACAAATGAAAATAATTACTTAGATATAACACATTATATTAAAATGTAGTAATGAAAGTAATATGCCAAATGCCAAACTTGAGCATATAAATTCTGAAATGAGTTTTTCAGTCAATGTTATCTGAAAAATTTCCTTAGAAATAACTTCCTTTAAAAAAATATGAGGTAAAATGAATGAAACTAGAATTTTTTTCAAGGCATCTTGCAGACATTATAGATGATGATTTCTAAGAATAAGCAAAGCACAGTTAAAAGTTTATTAATTTTAGGAAAATAAAATGACAAAAATATCTCTTGAAAAATTAATGGATAAGTTTTCTTGTTTCCTTGTCTCCAGAGCATTTGGCATTCTTTATCAACTGGTACATAAAAGAATAGAAAAATAGAAGATTGTCATATTGTCCTATGTATTTCTCTTTCAGTACATCAGTATGGTAGTCTACTAGAAAATAGTAAATGGCTTCAATTGTGGAAAGGAAGGTATCTGGCTTTCCTTTTTGATGGCGCCAAAAGCAAGTTTTTCTTGATTTCAACTCAACTTGTAACAACCCTGCCAAAAAAAGAAGAAAGGTATGAATATTTCTTCTTAACCACAGGGTGTGGAACAATAATAAAAGATTTCTCTCAATTATCTTCGTTTTTTTTTTTAAGAGCACAGATAAATTCCTTCAATCCCAATTCCAAACAAGATGTTTTCTTAACTGTATTAAGATATATAGAAGCAATACAAGACACAGAATGAAATCTTAATACATGACAAGTACCTCCAAGTCTTGGCTCTTGTAGCAAGGGGTTAAAAGCAGTTAACATTTAAGACATTCATCTCTTTCTATCTTCTATCTACCAGTGTCTTTTAAATTTTAGCTCACGACAGGATTAAATGCACCAATTTCCAGAAGGTTTTTGATAAACTTAACATATCATTCTGAAACTCAAGAGAGGCAGGCAGCCTGGTGGTCCTTAATACTAGTAAAATTTATTTCCAGATTATCAGTTTTAGGCTATATCCTCATGAACAGAGTACCCAGAGTTGTTTCCTTAGCTTCTGTCACATCTATGCTCTAGAGCCTCAGGATGCAGTCAGCAAGAATGCCTTGTTCTTGTACTTTTAAGAGGGAATGGTTCATGAAATCACAGAACAGTGCTGTCATCTCTCGTAACTCAGGTGTCAGCCTATAAACCCAGAATGACTTTAGTCCCTTAGACATGTTCTCCGAATCACATTACGTATATTGCCATACTTTATTTTTAGCATATTTTAAAGTGAGAAATAAAAGCGAGAAGGTAGCATCAAAATCAGCCCACTGACCCAGATTTGGACCTTTTGAGTCCAATGATTTCCTACTATCACAATCTACTTTACCCAAAGTTACTAAAATCTTTTGATCTACCACAGGAATGTGGCAGAGGGTAACAAGGAATGAAAGACATTAAGGTATTAAGAGATATGGAAGACTGAATGTCCAATAGGAGTCCCAGGAGGAGAGAACAGGTAGAATGGAGGAGAGATAGTATTTAAACGACATGAATGAAAATCTTGACCTATCCTCATGTTGTTATTGTGAGAACTGAATGAGTAGTACAGAGAAATCTGTGAGAGCCGGAACTCAGTGGGACTGCCTTGTTTTTCCAGGTCTCACAAGTTTTCCGCCCTCTGACAGGGTACAGTCTTATCACTTTTCTATCAGTCATTTTAGCGGAAAATATTTGAGTTTTCCTTCTGTGATAGGTCTCTGCCTTAGGCAGGTTCTGGCTTTTGCAGTATAACACAGCACTGAACACGCTGAGTGCAGTTTAGGCCATGGTTACTTATGATGTGAACAAAGCTACCACTTTAAAAGTTTTAACAAGACAGTCAAAATAAAAGGAGAGAGATGACTAATTAGTATAATAAATTAAAGTATAATGCCATTTTTACTCATTTGGACTCCTTCTCCAACAAAAAGAAACCATCCTTCCGTCCACATCCTCCCAAGGCCTCATTTGGTGAATCTTCAAGAATGTAACATCAACTCTTCACTTGTAGGTTTAGGTTTACATTTTATGATTTAATTAGGCACTCCACCTTCAAGGGTTTTATTTATATATAATTAATGTGTTGCCTTTTGACAGTGGTAAAACAGTCAGAGCTATTTCTCTGTAAAGTTTGGCAAAATAGTACAGTTTTACATTGGTAAGGGGGTTCTTAACCTCAGTACTCATAATAAAAAAAATGGAAACATAAATTCCAGTACATTTGAGGGTTTAAGCTGAGTTTTAGAGTTAGTTTGTTCAGCTTAATCCCATAAAATGATAAAATGTCTTAAAACCTAAAGGCAATGATTTTTAACAAATATGGGTTGTTTCCTGTGAAAGTAACTTGGCTTATGCAGAAACTGGCATCTCACATACCAGAGGCTATAACATGTTCAGAGCCCCAGTGACTCCCTGTGGTGCAGTGAGGAGTCAGAAGGGATGGGTGAAATAGGACACCCAGAGAAGCCTGCCTCTAGAGACTATTTATTTCATTATTTCGAAGGGATTTAAAAAAAAAAAACTTGAAAATTTCGATCTGGCACAGAATTGAAATGTATGACAGATACTTTCTATGTGATTTTGGAAGGAATTTTTGCACGAATCTGATTTTATGCAGAGCTAAAACACAAATATGGACACTCTAAAAAACAGATTTTGAATCACACCTCAAAAATTCCTTTTTTACTTTTTTCAAGGGTTTATACTTCGGTTATTTCAGTTGGTCCTTTAAATTACTATATAAGGTAATTATAAAGAAAAATGGTTCAGAAAAATCTTCATACAGAGGAGTAACTTGCAGTGTAACCACCCCAGAAGAATGTGGCAGGCGAGGCTCCCTTCCTCTCTTTCAAAGAGCAGGGCCTTAGGGCTCCGTCTCTCTCTTAAACATCAGCAACAAATCTCTTCCAGGTCTTAGGCTCTGCAGTACGTTACACATACACAGACATAGCCTCCCCCTCTACCCATCACCCCACCTCTATGGCTTTTTTCCCACAAATACATAAGCACATGCATAGACAATTAGAATGCCAAAGAAACTTTACTAACTTGTAGAGATCTCAGAAGTACAAACTATATAGATTAAGCTAGTTAAATCTACCATTCATTCATTTTAGCTTGGGACCAGTTAACACAAATCAGATTCAAAAAAGTAAGGGGCAGGAGTGACAGAAAAAAAGGAGAGTAAAAAGGAAAAGCTCTTCTTTACATAAGAATGCCAGCTAACAAACATAGAAATAATAAACTTAGAAAATCATCATTTTGCAAAGTTCAGTGTAATTACTGATTTAGGCAAGGGTCATCAATGACTACTAAAATCAGTAGGTGAAAGGCTGTTGGGAAACATTTCACAATCTGAAAGCATCACCCTGCAGATAACTTACTAATTACAAAGAGGAAAATAAACCTTTATAATGGGGAGATCTGGCAGTCACCACTTGAATCAAGTGAACAACCTGTATTATATGCCTCCTGATTTGATGCAATAAGCGTACAATTTCATCTAGTAACTTCGTCAGTTAAACAGGTTCATTTCTGGGAGTTAAAGAACATGCTATTAAATATACCAAAACAATAACTATAAACTGGAGGTGTCACGGATAACCCTGGATTTAGCCTTACATATAAATATCCTTGCCCAAAATATTTAAACTAAACCTAATGATGATGAAACGCTCATATAATTGACCTGTTTTCTCCCCAACCCAAAAAAAGTCTAAGGCATGAAAACCAAAAATGGGGACTGTTCTAGATTAAAAGAGACTAAAGAGTCATAACCAAATGCAACGTGAGGACGTCAAATGCTGCACCGGGGGAAGAAAGCTACCAGAGATATTTTGAGGACAATTAGGGGAATCTGAATATGGATTGTGTATTAGATGACATTATGGAATTAGCATCAGTTTTCTTAGGAGTGATAATAGTATTGTATTATTATGCAAAAGAATGTCCTTATTCTCAGAAAATGTACACGGAAGTATTTAAGGGTGAAGTATTGGAAAGCCTGCAACCTACAATTAAACAGTTCAACCAAAAACACATGCTCGCGCACACATGCACACACACAGGCACACACACACACACAAACAGAAAAAGAGAAATAAAGCCAAATGGCAAAACATTAGCAACTGGTGAACCAAGGGGAGGGCAGATGGGTTACTCAGTGCAATACTTACCTGTACGTTTGAAGTTTTTCAAAATAAAAGATGAAGAAGAAAATTAAGCCAAAAAAAATTTTTTTTCCTTACCTTGAAGTCGCTCATCAGTGAATATTTTGTTTGTTTGGTTCCAGGTACTATCTATAAATATAACTTTTTTCAGTGTTGTGCTTTTCCACTTGCTGTCATTCAAATCACAACCCTCCTGTCCTTCAGTTTTCTTGAGTTTAAAAGATGGTTTGTCAGAGTCATCATTTTTGCCTCTAACAGTATTTTGAATCCTTTTTTGCAGATGAGAAGAAATATCTTTTACTGAGACAGACTTAGGTCCAGGAAAAACAAGTGCAACCTAAAGCAAAGAAACTTAGGTTAGCAGTTTACTATATGATCTTTAAAATAAGTAAATCCTGATTAACTTAAAACTTTAATAGAAAAAAATATGATAAATATCTGAGAAACAAGTATTCAGTTCTATTGTGTGTGCTTCTTTAATATGTATGGTACAATTTTTGGCTCTTCTCTAGTAATTTATCATCATAACTACAACCAAAAAGTATTACTTCAAAATAAGTTACTTGGGACTTCTGGCAAAATGGCGTTCTAGGCAGAAGCACCACGCCGTCCCTCCACAGCAAAGATCCGAAAAACTAAGCCAAACAGAGAAAACAACAATCCTGAAACCCTAAAACATCAAATGAAGAAATAAAGAACTCAACCAAGCACCAAATGGACTGAGAAAACTGACAGAGAACGGAGAGCGAGCAGAGATTCATGCAGAGGTCCCCTACCAGCTAACTCAGCGTGGATCTGCCATCTTGGACTCCTATCGGAGACCAGCAAACGGGGTATGAGAAAGCAGCTTCACGAAGCTTCCAGCGGGAGACAAAACAACCGGTAATTTGCGATATACGCTTTCCCACCCCTTCCTGCAGCCACAATCTCTTGTCCGGGAAACACCAGCTGCCTGGACTCCACACACCCCAACAGGCCGGCTCTCGGAGTGCCATTTGTTGGCTGCTGGTGTTGCTTTCTTTTTCTGCTTCTTTTGATTTCTCCCTTCTCTCTCACCACCTCCAACTCCTTTCAGTCAAATACCTGACTCCGTTAGCCATCTTTGCTTCTTCCTGAGGGGCTGTGGAGCTCCGTTCGAGTATGGGGCTACTTCCCAGTCCGGGCTGCCGCACTGGAGGGATCCTGGGGCTTTTGTTCATTTGTTTGTTTTGAATTGTTTGTTAGTTTTCTTTTCCTTTTCTTGAGTTGGGAGCCCTTTCTGGCCAGGCAGTGCTGCGTGGAAAGGAGACTACTCCCTCAGCTTGCACAAACGTGCAGAGGGATCCCTGAGGACATTTCTTTTTTTGTTGGATTTTTTTTTTTTCTGTTTTTTGGGTGGCTTTTCTTGTTATTTTTTTTTTTTTGTTATGTTTTCTTTTCCCTCTTTTTCCCTTTATCTCTTTCTTCATTACTCAGCTTCTCATCTCTTTCTGTTCTCATATTTTCCTTCTCTATCTGTTCCCTGAATACCTGGCGTTGTATACCTCTATGCCTTCTAGCCACACTGTACTGCAACACCTGAGAGCGACTTCCCCAGACCTCATAGCTGCACCGGTGGGATCCCTGGGAACTTTGCAGTTTTTTAACCTTTCCGATTTTTATTTATTCTTTCTTTGCTTTTCTTCCTCTTCCCCTTTCTGTTTTTCTCCATTTCATAGTCTCTCATGTCTCCACTCCAATGGGAACCTCCCCTAGCATTCTTTTCTGTTTGTTTGTATCTTTTTAGCTCCTGTTACTCTCTCCTCTCTCCATATCCATCTTAGCTCCACACATAACAATCACCCCGCTACATCCAGCCAACCTGCAAAGTGCACTTAACATCACACCACCAAGCAGGAAAGGCATGGCCTACTGGAACCTGCCCTGCCCTGATTACCAACCCACCCAGGTGGGTGTAGTAAGTGCCACAAACAACCCATCCCAGTAACTCCTCTTCAGCTAGACCTGCCCTGCCGTACCATATCTGAGTGACTGACCCTCCCAATTGGAGAAGGAGGCGAAAAGTATTGTGCCCACAGACGAGCAAACAACAAAGAACACACAGTCT